TGCGTACGGCCTTCTCGAAGCCATGCCTGACAACACCTAACCACAGTGTCTACACTTCTTTGCACTCTAACTGCAATTGCCCGAAAAGAAAGTCCAGCTTCCCGAAGTCCCTCTATACGGCCCCTATCAAACTCACTAAGTTGACGAAATCGTACAGGTCTCCGTACTCTAGGCATCGTAACCGATCGTAAAGGATGTCAAGAACCAAAATCCGCCAACGTTGATTCTTTACTGCGGCTGAAATATTCATTTTTAGAGCGTTAGTGAATTAAAAGAAAGCAGTATAAAAACCTGAATGTCCAACTGATAAGGCTGAAAATTTTTTCACTTGTTATATACAGTAAGATAAATACACTCACCAACTTTTATTAAAATAAAACCATTTAAACTGGGTGTTCGGATTTATATGTCACTTAGTATATGTCTAACAATAGACCATATTGATTTTGATCTATTTTTCAAAATCCCAACTGTGAGGTAGTTGACTTTATGACGGCATACCAGCTCCAATATAACGAGTGATCACAGTTGGGGTTTTGAAGAATAGATCAAGAAAAATGTGTAAAATCGAGAGCTACTATTGTCGGAAAAATTTATGGGGCCTGCTGTCCGACATCTCAAAATCAAGAATTGTATGTAAGAAAAATTCTCCGCTACTGAGGTTTTTTGGAACATAAAAAGTCTACTATAAGCCAACATGGCATCTATTTTATAGAGGAAGCTACTTTTCATAATAACTATATTTCGCTTGCAGGAATTCATGTATACTTTTTTATTTATTAATGCCCACACAAACGCAAAACATAACAGTTAAACTTTTCATTTTTACAATAATTTATACCAATTATTTGACCAAAAAAGCAGGTACAAAAAGATACCCCAAACAATAGTAAAGTAACATCATAATCTGAGGAGAAGCAAAATAGGTAATAATATAAAATATCGGTCTGTGGATTAAAGCTGCTTCATTTCGTCAGAAGAAAATAAAAACTGAAGGTTGCTGGGTTTTCTTCCAAATTCATCGATTACTTTTTTAATGAATGAATTTTTGTTGTTTTCTATCGTATCTCTATGAACATTCATCGTGCAAAGTGCATCCAAGCGGTTTGCGCCAATGGTAGATCGAATCCAGGTGTTCACCCGCCGAAGAGTAGAAAACGACCTTTCTACGGTGCACGTTGTGGGCGGTAGACATTAAACAATTTCTATCCCCTTATAAATTGCCGGATAAAATGAATAGTGGATTAACAAATCTATCATTGACATACAGGAATAGCAGTTGCCAACTATTCAAAACGGTAGCAGAAATAATATCTTCTATGTTGGGATGCTTTGAAGAGCAAAAAACTGACACGCCACTCCTTACCCAAAGATTGGGTACATTATTGAGAATATCTCACTTTGAAGCAGAAGCCAGGGAGGGCATATGCCCCCCTTGCCCCCATCCAATGCGCGCCCATGACTATCATTAAGTACCAACGTTGACCAACGCCGACCAATGCACATTGGTGTAACGTTCACTATACTATAACTATCTAAAACTGTAATGACTCATCGATGTTCACGTGAACATCACTTAACTACCAGTAGTCGGCTGTTCATAGGCGGGGTATGAATGTTTAACATGGGTGAACTAGGTTTGTCACATGCTTAATAAAGAGTGGTTCGAAACATATTGTAAGTCAAAAATTTGGGAATTACCTTTATTCATCGTCGCTTCCACTTACATCTGACAGTAATAAACTGTCGCTATCGCTTTCCTCGTTGAAATTGACTATAACTGGCTCTATGATGGTGTCAATGTGGTGGTCAAGCTGCCACATTTTTGTTTCTTCCTTCACAACATGACGAATGGCATTCTGCCAAGCTTCGGGCGTTACTAGCTGTGTGGAAGTCTCAAGTAAAACCTTAACGTCTGGTAATTTGAAGGTTGTGTTATGGCGCGCAATACAACCCTTCACTTGAGCCCAGATGAGCTCTATTAGGTTCAGTTCACAGTGGTAGGGCGGTAACCGCAGCACAGTGACACCACATTGACGGGCCATCTCATCAGTCACGTAACTAATGTTCGCAGGTTTGTGCTGTTTAATTTTTTCATACAATTCCGCTTTCACACATGAATCGTCAAACGGGATTCCTTTTTCGCGCAACCATTGCTGCATGTCACTTTTTCGAGATCCCATAGTCGGTACACGTTCGGCTCGACGACTATGGTAGGAAGCATTATCCATGACGATCACAGAGTTGGGCTCAACTCGCTGAAGCACCCCTTGAAACCAGCTCTCGAAGCAGCTGGCAGTCATGTCGTCATGGTAATCACCTCCTTTCTTAGAGACGAAAATCAAGTCACACTCTTCTAAAAAGCCACTATCGCTACCAATATGAGTTACGATCAATCTTTCACCTTTCCCTGACGGTCCACGAAGACCTGTTGACAAATGCTTGCTTGTCGGTTACTCACTACGTTTTTGTCTATCCAGGTTTTTTTTACTGTGTGACCTGCATTTAGCCATGTCTCGTCCAAATAATAGATTTTTCTGCTTTGTCGCCTATATTCAATCATTTCGCGTATGTATTTTCGACGCCAGGCGACTATTTCAGGTCTCTCTATCAATACTGACTTCCGATTACGCGTTTCGTAACGAAAATTAATTTCGTGCAGGGATTTCCTCATTACCTCGACGCTCATTTGGGGTATAATTTCATTTTCCTTGATCGCTGCATGTACAGCCTTGAGAGTTGGTATCTCATTCCTAAAGAAGAATGAATGTACGGTAACGCCATTTTGCTATCGTCATCCAATTTAACGGCCTTTCGTCCCTTCAAATTAAACTTTGGATCAGTAGTAGCTCCAGTTTTCTTCTTTTCATGCACCACCCCGCGAATGGTCCACTCTGGAACGCCTGTCATACTTTCACCACGCGCGAGTGCATCTCCCTGCGACATAGTTCTGTTCAGATAATTGAACACGTTGAGCACGATTTCTTTCGCGTCCCTCTTCAGTGCTTTACGAAGCCGTCTACTTGTTCCTTGGCTTTCAGTACTTCCACTCGTGCCATTTGTACTCTCCATGGTTAAGTATAACCAAAACAGTAACCACAGAAACCACAACAATAACAATCACACAACAATTCTTATAAAAACACACAATATGCGATCGCTCAACGAAACACGTTCCAATGCGTTGCCGACGCCTATGAGTCTGCCGGTCGAGGCGCGTCTTTGATTTCATTGGTTCTACCGGCGGAGAACAATCAGCCATTATTTCCATCTCTGTCTGTGCTGTTGACCACCGCAAAGCCACAGAAACGACATATGTCGTACGCTATACGGCTGTACTGGAAGGAAGCCGGGATCGAGCTCTGATCACGTGTTGATCACGCGTATGAGTCATTACAGTTTTAAATAGTTGTAGTATAGTTGGTATTTGTCTACGTTGGCCCAATATGTGGATGCGACATTAGAACTTAGTAAGACACGATAATTGATGTATGGCTTCTGCTCCACCGTATTTTGTATGAATTGCAACAAAAAAGAAATAATACGGAAGCGTGTTTAAATTTAGCGCTTAGTGAAGATGAAGCCTAAAAGAACATGCATAAGATGCTTCCGAAATGTCCAAGCGAGTGATTTAGAACTCGATGATGAATTGTGAGCGCAATGTTTTGTTTGACTATGAACATGACAGAAGCAAAATGCTTTTAATTCCCACACCTACTAGCGGAAACCACGTGCTGTTTTGGCGATTTGAAGTTAACAATTATATAACGCATTAAGGAAGTCTTTTTAATTGAGAAAGATATCGGGCAACATTCCTGTCGATCTCATGTATCAAACCTGTCAAAGCAAAGAAAGTGTCTTCACAATCAAGAGGCATAAAGTGAAGGAAAGAATGTGCATCTAGCCGTTACAAATAAAAGGAATGAACAAATTAGAGGTGAAGCCATTTTTGCAAATAAAGCTTTCCACTCGTTAAGTGCATATATACATATACGAGTATACAGGGTGGCGCATCGAAAACGAAACAAACGCATTTACTGGTAGCTCAGTTTTTTTTTTGAAAAACGCTCAGACCCGTCGATTTTATTTTCGACGGAGACACAAGTTTGGCAAAAAATCACGTGCAGCCTCCTAAGCGGGGGTGACACCACCAAAATAATCTGAAATGGAAAGGGGGGTCGAGTGGTACCTTATTTTAAAGGTCACTCAATTCAGCAAAATCTTTGTTATTGCATGGAGAGTCATGGTGGCCAGTTTCAACATTTACTTGCCTAACGGGTCAGTTCATTCTTCATTTTTAGATTACTTTGCTGCCAAATGTATTGATCTCCACTGATCGTGATGTATTAGTTTTATTTAAGCTTTAAATCAATAAATCTTCAAAACTACTGAACTGAAGTACATTAATTTTATATCATTATAAAGGGAATATAAAGACCTTTAAAATAAGGTATCACTCGACCCCCCTTTCCGTTTAAGATTTTAGGGTTGGTGTCACCCCCGTGTTAGCGTGATTTTTTGCCAAAAAACGCTCCAATAGCTATTTTCAACAACAAAATGATAAACAAACCATGGGCGTAGTGAAGAAAAGCATTTACTTATTAAGTAAATTCTTTTAGTCAAATTTCTTCTAAAAGTAGTACAAACTAATCTGATATACCTATTAAAGTCTACTTCAAGCTTTAAATCAATAACTCTTCAAAACTACTGAACTGAAGCTCATGTATTTTACATCATTATAAAGGGAATTGAAATACCTCTTAAATAAGGTATCACTCGGCCTGCCTTTCCACTTAAGATTTTAGGGTTGGTGTCACCCCCGCCCAGGGGGCTGCACGTGCTAACGTGATTTTTTGCCAAACTTGTGTCCCCCTCGAAAACAAAATCGCCGGGTCTGAGCGTTTTTCCAAAAAAAAACTGAGCTGCCAGTAAATGCGTCTGTTTCGTTTTCGATGCGCCACCCTATATATAAGTGCAATTATTTAAATAAACCTACGTACAACTTTTCTGCATATGCCTCAGCCCGTTTCTTACTGATTTTGTTTAGATTGCAGACTGATATTCCAGGCATAGCTAGCTCACGAACTGGATAGTGAAATGACTCCAAAGTTGTGTAAGTCGGGTTTTCCATAAATGTTGTGCAGATGAAGTATATCATGTATATGGTGAATGCCCAGATGCTCGTGTAGATTAGGTACCATATGTATCTAAAAATTATTAATAGATGTTAAGGTATACATCCATTCGTATAACCATCAGCATCATCGCAATCAACAACATCATCTTCATCACGTATTCTCTTAGAGGATTTGGAAGTTCAGTGATAAAAAAAACTCCTAAATACCAGAGTAGCGCGGCTGCTATGAAGAGCTTAGAGGCACGTTGTTAATCCGATTTTTGAACTGCTCAAAGTTAGTAGAACTGGGAAAAGCCTCGTCATTTCATAATCTCGATACCATAGAAGCAAAGGATCGAGCGTACCATCTAGTTATGAATGTATCGGTTAGGACGGGAGCTCAAGGTCAGGCGGGTCTGTCTAGCAGAATCATCGCGCGGCATCATGGAAAAGAGTTCTGAGGGGCAAAGCCCGTTAACATAGCGGTAGAAGTGCGTTAGATCACCGACGGTGCGAAAAGGTTAGAGTCATCTATCAGGCGCACATGTGAGCAGTACTCGCTAAATCTTATCTGAACTTTGTACAGAGGAAGGAGTTTATGAGGAGTTGAATAGTAAAGGGGTCTACATATTCTGTGAAATAGTCGTACATACTGACTTTCGTTAGGAGGTCGAGTCAGTTCTATCAAGAGTTTATAAAACAAAAAGTCACAACACACACAGACATACTTCATAAAATAAAAATGACTAAGTACCTATTTCTCTTCCCATTATGCAACCATTGATAAGATAATAATCCCACATGCTTCATTTGAGCTCCGGCGTTTCTTGTCAGTATTTCTTGCATGATAACGATAAATCTAAATCACACTATTGAAGATAACCGCATATGCACAGACAATTTACGAGTTGGTAATCAGTTTTCTTCTTATAATAATATTGAGTCTGTATATATGAATATGATTCGCTTTGACCCAATAGCCTTGCTACCCAGGAAACTCAGCCATTCCACTTTTTTTAAGTTATAAATATATCTATCTATCATATTTGTAACAAATCATAAGTAGACTCAAACTGTTGATTCGTCATTGGACACGAAATACGTCAATGAGACCGCACGTACCTGTTTCGGACTAATTTTTAGATTTATTATCGTTTTTGTAGTGATATATACTATCCATATAATGTTTGTTGTTCATATACTAAGTGACATATAAATCCGAACACCCAGTTTAAATGGTTTTATGTTAATAAAAGTTGGTGAATGTATTTATCTTACTGTAAATAACAAGTGAAAAATTTTCAGCCTTGTCAGTTGGACATTCCGGTTTTTATACTGCTTTTTTTTAATTCACTAACGCTCTGAAAATGAATATTTCAGCCGCAGTAAAGAATCAACGTTGGCGGATTTTGGTTCTTGACATCCTTTACGATCGGTTACGATGCCTAGAGTACGGAGACCTGTATGATTTCGTCAACTTAGTGAGTTTGATAGGGGCCGTATAGTGGGACTTCGGGAAGCTGGACTTTCTTTTCGGGCAATTGCAGTTAGAGTGCAAAGAAGTGTAGACACTGTGGTTAGGTGTTGTCAGGCATGGCTTCGAGAAGGCCGTACGCAAAGAGCAAGGGGCACTGGACGCCGCCGTAGAACAACAGACCGTGAAGATCGCCGCCTAAGATTATTGGCCTTAAGGGACCGTTTCTCCACTACCAGGTCCATTGCAAATGAATGGTTTGCAGAACACGGAAGACCTATTGGCATGCGAAGTGTTTACCGACGAATGAGAAGTTTTGGCTTGTTTTCATACCGGCCACACTGGGTCCACCCTTTAACTCGAGAACACCGACGTGGTGGTGCAGACAACGGTCACTCTGGGATCAGGAATGGAACAGTATTGTCTTTAGTGATGAGTCTTGATTTTGTTTAGGCATGCACGATGGTCGTGCCAGGGTTAGAAGGCGACGTGGTGAAAGGAGGAATCCACAGTTTTTTGTTGAAAGACATGTTCATCACACTGTTGGAGTTATGGTTTGGGGTGCTATAGCTTATGGTTCCAGGTCACCTTTAATCTTCATCAGAGGTAACATGAACGCGCAGCCTTATATCCACGAAGTTCTAGAACCCCATCTTTTACCCTATCTTGACACCCTGGCAGATCCAACTTTCCAACAAGATAATGCCCGACCACATGTTGCAAGAGTCACAATAGACTTCTTTTAACATAATGATGTCACATTGTTACCATGGCCACCAAGATCTCCCGACTTATACCCAATTGAGCACGTGTGGGATATGATGGATAGGAGATTGCTCAATTTGCAACGTCCTCCTCAGACTCTAGAAGCACTTCGAGAGGAGTTGGTGGTTGCCTGGAATGAGATACCACAGGAGGATATTGACCACCTGATCAGAAGCATGCATAGGCGCGTTGGAGAATGCGTAGCACATCAGGGTGCATCCTCACATTATTAAAGGTCAAAGGGCTTTAAAGCAGTGCAATCATTTTGAAATTTATATCATTTACTTATTATGCTTCATTAAGTACTTATATAAAATTTTATTAAAATAAAACTATTTAAACTGGGTGTTCGGATTTATATGTCACTTAGTATATATACTCTACGCGTAGCTTGCATTTTGCTAACGTTATCTACAGAGAAACATAGCCTGAGGGGTATCATGATATTATTCATTTATTTATACACCACCATCAGATATACCAATTACTGGTACAGGAAGATAACAAACAAAGTAATGTAATACACATTAACCAAGCCACATTTTTACATGTTTGCTTGATGTATGATAATTTTGTATTGAAGATCTGGAATTCGTACAGCTGGATAAGCTTGATAAAAATAATTTTAAGTTATAAAAATATAATGGTGTAAACGTTATGAGAGTCATTATTTGAATGGGTGATAGGGGGCGTTAAAAGGATCAAAAAGTATGATATAACATGGGTGTCAAAACGGCATTTTTAGAGAACTGCGACTTTACAGTAAAATAACGCAAATCACGACGGAACGCAGTGTAAATAAAGATGGAGTTTGTTATTTTTGGCTCTTAGGTATTATTTCATTATTTGATAACGTACTCGCAAAATGCAAACAAATAAAAAAACGGACGTACCACTCACTCTCTCAGCGTGTGTGAACTTTGTTGAACGTATTAAAAAAATCCTCTTATAAATAGGGAAGACAATTTTGATACATACATTTTTTCTTTTTAAAACCCACACTCCACCTTTTTTGTATTTGAAGAAGGTGTTTAAAATGTCGTCATCCACTTTCCACACAAGCGAACCCAGTTTCTTCTTACTCTAGGTACTCGAAGTTGTCCATTTATTATTTCAGCCGCATTAAAATTATTTTCGCGAAGTTGTGCTTCAGTTGTTATTGGACCAGCCCCATAAACCATCCCTTTAAGTTCTCTCCAATACCAGAAATCCATTGGATTGAGGTCAAGAGATCTTGCTGGCCATTTTCGAGGATCAGGAGCATTTCGATCGATGCAGCGATTTGGATAATGTTCATTCAAATACTGAATGACGCCTCTAAAAATGTGTGGTGGTGCCCCGTCATGAACAAACCACCAATTCTGTCTCCGTAATAATGGCATGTTGTCTAAGGTCTGTTCCAAAAGTTCTGGCAGGTTATTGGCTAGAAAGCTAAGGTATCCTTCTCCTGACAGCTTTGTGGGTAACTCGAAAGGGCCAATTACCTGATCGTCAAGAATACCCGCCCAAATATTTATTTTAAAACGTTGTTCACAAATGGTATGCGGATTTTCTTGGGCCTACGTGTGAGTATTATGGAAATTTAATATCCCATCTCGCGTAAAAGTACATTCGTCCGTCGCTAGAATGTTTTTAAAAAAATCCGGAGTTTCAATGTTTTTGTGCAAAAACCACTGACAGAATGTTAGTCTGCGGGGATAGTCTTCTGGTAACAAGGCCTGCAGTCGTTGTACATGATAGGGATAAACCAAATTTTCCCGTAGGATTCTATGGACTATGGTAAGCGATAGTCCTACGCGGCGGCCTAATTCTCGAGTGCTGATATCTGCATTGATTTTCAACATATTTAAAATTTGTTCCTCCTGCTCTACAGTAACCTGTCTTTCAAGAGTGCGAATATTAGTGGGCTGAACACTTCCTGTATCTCGAAGTCTTTGGTACACTTGCACAAATGTCATTCTGTCTGGGTGTACCCGTTGGCGAAATCTGTCGCGACAAATTTGAGCTACAAGATTTGAATTCTGACGACCTTCTCGGTAAATTAACAACATGTCGACGAACAAAACGATAAAGTAATTTATCTATGCAAATGATAACTAACCACTGTTACCGTTTGCGATCGATTGTCGGTTCGATAAGAGTGATGAAAGACCGACGCGCTGTTGTCATGTGTGTTTTAAAAATTAAATTTATTGAAACTAACTTACTGACTACAAATTTTGGCTTAACTTAGAAAAACTTAATTCCATTTATTTGTTAATTACCCAATTCAAAAACGTTTTAGATTAGATTATAAAAATTAGTAAGATTGTGGTGATTGTGGTCGATATAAAGCACTTAAAGTTGTAAAATATAAAACCATTTAGACATAAATCTATTGACTTTTGGACCACTTTTCCCACAAACACACAATGGCGGTCTACCTGACTCGCAAGTAGAGCCTAGTAGATATCTAAGCTATTTTCGCTTGGCGATATAAAAGTATACAGTCTTCTTGTACCTATGTACAAATTACAAGCCATCAACTTTTGATGAAAGCATCGTGTTCTGATCCATACTATCATTTGTCACTGAAAATCACTACACAACCTATAATAAACAAATGCAGGCGCCTACTAGGTATCGAATGAAAAGGCTAAGAGCACTTTACAATAAAATTAATGTTATAATGATTATTAACGGTAAGGCACTTAATATTGCCTGTTAGCTTGCAATTAAAGACTAATAAGTTCATTTTATTACGTTTAATAGGTAGTCAGGAAGCGTGCCGACGTTTTTGTTTTAGACGCGAGTTTAAATGCATTTAATCATTGCTTGGTAAATAGTTCAAGCACCAAGGCTTTGGGGTTGACGAGATATGCCGATTACATCATTAAATGGAGATGTAAACAAATGGACGTGATAAAGAACAATTTTCGAGGGAATTTATGGCAAATAAGTAGTTGTGCACAGTGGTTTGCTAATATGATACCAAAGTGTGATTCTACGTGTCCAGGTAGGGTTGCCATCTCTAAAATACAAAAACTACAGTATATTCAGATAAGAGATAGACCGGATGTAAACAAAAGGTTCGGGTGATTTTCACGCTAACGCCGCCGTCTCGACGTAAAACAGGAGCCCTCATTGGTCAATTCGCAATTAAATGCCTATGCCGAGCGGCAGAGCAGTCGTATCAAGGCAGAGTCACATTCAGGTTCAGACGTGTTACGTATGTCGTGTGCATCATTGCAATTTGATATTTCTTTGGACGTTTTCGTTTGTTATCTTATTAAGTTGTTGAGTTTGTCGTTGTTATTGTTATACCTTGCTATTGATTGTTATTGTTATCAACTGCTTGCGCAAAATGCCCAGTAGTACAGATACTGCCGATGAAGTTGTAAACTCCTGTAGTCCACCTAGGAAACGCTCTAAAAAAAGACACCTGAGAGCAGAAATGAAAGAGGTCATTTTGAATATATATAAGATCGAGCGCGAGGAGAACGAGGCATCAACCATCAAAGAAATTGTTGTGAAGGTTTCTCACAAAGTTGGGGTGTGCCGCGCATCAGTGTTTAATGTGTTAAGACAATACAAAAAAAATCACACCTTTTCTGAGCCAATGACCAGTAAACATCGCAAAAGTATTGTTAAATCATTGGATGAAGCTGATAAGCATGCGATTAGGAGGAAAGTGCATGAATTCTTCTTTAGG